AAACTGTATTTCATAAGCAAATATCTGATTTTTCTTCTATACTGAAGGAAAACCGGTGAAAGAGAGCCATTATTTGCAGAAATTACAGATTGTAGAGAGGAAATAAGATTGCTACTAAAAGGAGTAAAACAGCGAGAGAGAGAGAGATATGTAGAGAAAGAGAGCGAGCCGCGCTGCAGGAGTTAAACACACAACGCTGTTGAAGGCAACAGCGAAAACAAAAATACAAAAATAACAACAAAAGCAATAACAAACCGGATTAAACTTTTGAAATAACAGCGGAATTAAAAAGCAGCACAAAGAAAGCACTAAAACAAACTATGGCGAAGAACAAAAGTAACGGCAACAACACAATGAGAACATGCGAAAGCAGTAAGATGCAAACATGCCGGCAGCAACAACATAACAAACGTAAAAAGTATTTGGAATGGTAAGAGCGCGGCGAAAGCGCAGAAAAAGCATGTAAGCCAAAGCATGAAAGCATGCAACAACAAAAATAATAACAACAGCATAAACACAATTTAAGCTGCTGAGCAGCAAACAGCGTCGTGCAGCAAGCAGCAGCTGCAACAATAACAACAACGCAACAGCAGCCGCCACGAAGCTCACGACAGTGGCGGTGACAGCGCACGAAGCAGCGACACAAAGAAGGAAGCACGTAACAAAGCAAAAAATGTGTAGTATTTGCGCAAAGCATACGCCGCATACAAAGTTTATGTGTATGTGTGAGTGTGTGTGTGTGTTTTTGGTGTGTACTTGTGGAAATGCGACTTTGTTGAGGTAGGTCAAACGAAAAATAGGTACAGCCAACGAACTCGAAGCAGTCAACAGTCAGCACCGGCAGCAGCGGCAGACACACAAACAAACACGAAAACAAAAACAATAAGGCAAGAGGCACATAACCAGCCAGACATGACAGCAACATGCTTTTGCACATCTTATGTTGCTTATACTCGTATAAACATATATGTGTATATATGTATATAGCTTTATTTATGACGTGCAGACATACATAAGTACATGTATGTAGAAGCTTTTAAGTATATAATATAATAGATAAACAGGCAACTAACCGGCCGGCTTTTACGCTTATGTATATGAATGGGTATATGTTCCAGCAACAAAGCTGTTGTTGCGCACCCCTTTTACCACCCCTTTTAGGTGCTGCACACAATGTTACTTGTTGGTGTTGTATATATATATGTATGTATATAAAAATATATATAATTCGAAGAAAAATCGTATATATTGCATTACCAGCCGGCAGTAAGCAAGTTTTGCCAATTTCATAACTAGACAGAGTAAATGATAGACAGTCGCCTAAATAGTCAGTTGGTCAAATAAACAGTTCAACAGTTAGACAGTGACTTACACATGAAAATATGGCAACTGAGCTATGAAAGAAAAATTAGGTGCCAGCTAAAGAAGAGCCAATAATAATTTGCGATTACTGCAAAGTGACTTTGAAAATCATTCACACCTGAAATCGGGCAAACAATTAATCAAATACAACAACAAAGCGGCCAGCATAGGTATTTACCTAACAAATAATAATATATATATTTAATATGCTACTAGCTGATGTATCGGGTGATTTTTTTGAGGTTAGGATTTTCATGCATTAGTATTTGACAGATCACGTGGGATATCAGACATGGTGTCAAAGAGAAAGATGCTCA